AAAAAAAAAAAAAGTAAAAAAAATTTTGAGGAATTTTTTTTTTAGGGGGTTTGCGGGGTTGGGGGTTGCAGAAAAACAAAATAACAGAAAATTGAAAATACAATTTTTTTTAAAAAAAAAGTAAATTTAGGGCAACTAAATAAATTTCTAGATAAGTTGGGTTGAGATCCCTTTGTTTTGAGCGAGTTTCATGGGTTGTATTTGGGCTGCTTAATGGGTTATAAAAACTAATGAGTTTACTTGGGCTCAGCCTAAATTGACTCATGAGCTAAAATATTTGTAACTCAATCCATTAATCTCTTGGTGGGTTGGATGGGTTTGGGCTTAAATTGAACCCCTATTTTTGGGGTTAAGTTCCCAAAGGAAGGTAGGAATTCATCAAAATAAGGAAATTGAGGCGTTGTACTGGTCAAATTTCAATCCAATTATCATAAAAAGAGTTGAGGTTGGAGCCCTGCTAAATTACAATTATTCAGAATCATCCAATCTCATTCACTCATAATGAGAACACGCATAAAATCTCCACCCCTCTAATTCGTAATATTGAGACCTGTGTGTGTGTGTGTGTGTTTCACTCAGCGCTTCTATGTGAATTTCATAGAAACATAACCAACCTCAAGAAACCAGTCCCAAGTCTGAATAATACAGGAACAACACAGTAGGTTGATAGCCACCGCAATAGATAATAGGATGGCTAGTTACCGATATGTTGCATCCTACAGCTGCTTCAGTTTATAGGCTGCAATTTATCAGCATCGTATAAGCCCAGCACTTAGCATAAAAACACGCATATTTCAATAACTGAACTCGTCCAGTGAACAAAGTAGGTAGCACAATGGAGATACCAAAAAGCTAGAGGGCATAGAAACTTTTTCACTCAAAGGAATAAATATGAATATTCTGAACTCTCAAGTCTGGAATTAAATTCAACAAATAAATAATAATACAACCTCTGCAAGGGTAGCAAAAAGCTAGAGCCTAGAGTCTACATAAAAGTGAATCCTAGATCAAAATTAAACAAGTAAAATAGATAGATAAAAACTGTAACCAGCTCAACTCAACGCAATAAAACAAAGAGGACCATAAGCTAAATGGAACCTCTACTTTGCCGGGCCATTTGAGATGGATAGCTTAGTCAAGCCTTCGCCAGTGGGGTTGAGCTCATCCCAGGCTTCAATCCACGTAACCATGGCATCCGCTAGCTTGGTGAAATAAGGATCTACCTTGGAAAGTTTGTCCTTGACCTGTTTTGACAGTTCGATATAGCACTGCTGAACACTTGTGCAATCTTTAGGAAGAGTTGCAGACTGGAAAAATGGAATGATCTCTTCTTGCCAGTAGATGCCTTTGTACTCCTTTTTAAGGTTAACAAAAGGATTGCTCGCTTTGCTGTGCCATATGTAGGGTAGACCAGTCTTGATACCCAGTCCCAAATGGTCACATATCACCTACAAAACACATATTCTATGTTAGGATTCTTTCATTCAACCAAATTGCTTCAACCAAAAAAAAAAGCCATCATAAGGTAATCTTGGGATTTACTGACTAACCAGTTTTCCATCTTAGCAAGTTAACATAATTGCAGAAAGAAAAGATAATTACCTTGGTACACCAGCCGGCCCACATATCGTCATAACGACCAATGGGCTGACCATCACCCATGAGCCCAAAGTACATTGCAGGTCCAATAAGCTCACGGTCGAATGCCAAATTCATTCCACACATGGGGAACAGAGTGCCTTTTGGAATTGTCATGACCGCATCAACATATCTGCAAAAGGTAATAATAAGAATGCTAATTAGATAAAGAAAGCTTTCTAAGTTACAACAACGACCAATTCAATAAGTTCTATAATTTGGCGTATGGAAAATATTCATGCCTCGTGTTCCTCTCACGTGGCTTAACAAGTTGAGTAGGTGCATCATAGTCAGGGATGTTGAGCCAAAGACCATGAGATACAGCCGTGGGAGCACCCTCGCGCATACTGAAAGGGTAGCCTCGAACAAAATCTGCACCTTCTCTGTATGGATCATAGAGAGTGTTGAAGAAATGTGGAGTGGAAGGACATAGGAGGTTCTTAATGTGTTGCTCAAGTGCATTGATGTCTTTGCCAGATGGGTCTTTGGCAACCTGTGCATCATCAGTGCAACAAGAGTTCAGCGTGTAATCAAACAACTATCAAGATCAACTATAGACCAAGGCATTGGAGTAAAACAATCAAAATCACAATTTGTTTCGAAATATTTGACGAAGGTCTAAGAGAGTTAAAGGGTAATTTTGACGAAGTGTTTCTTAAGGGGTATGCAAAAACCTGAAAAGACAGATAATATGGACATGTAGTAGGATTTTCCCCTTAAAGAAGCATGCAATGATTGGATAAATTTGTCAAAAGTGTGATAAAATTTCCAAATATATGGGCTAAGATGAAAGGCGTCTTCATTACTAGTAAAGCAGCCCTCAGATATGAAGTCATTATTTAAAAATGGATTTCATCATTGCCATGGGACCAAGTCAATCAACAAACAAAGATAGCACATGAAAGCATTCAACTCTAAAAGAAAGTAACATGAAGTGGTGTAGCATAATGATACTAAAGGTTGCTACAGACAATAGAAAACAAATAAAACCTCATGCCAGCCAATAGGTCATGTACCAAAACAGGGAGGGAAGCTACTACAAGATCTGGCTCAAATGCATCAAGCTTCAGTTGGTACTTTATTTATAAATATATACAACTACAATAATACAACAACAACAAAAACAAAGTATAATCCTACGTGTGAGTCTAGGAAGGGTACCCGGGTAGAGAGGTTGTTTCCAAAAGACAACTCGGCTTATTTATAAAACAATACAAGAAAAAGAAAAACTGAGACCTAATGGTGCAAAATTGTAATATACACCACTTAAATTAACAATGTCAGCCCAATTAACTTCATAAAAATAAATCCATAAACTTAGATTAGCTTAAAACTATAACCACAGGAAAGTTGACCAACTTAAGAGATTTATGCCATCAAAGGATCTGTATACCTCGTATAGCTGCAGATCACCAGATTATTAATTGAAACTCAAAGGTCCATATAATGAATACCCAAATCTAACTTAATTAAAGAGATCCATATAAATTATAAAGCTGCTAAGAGAAATTTATCACCTTTACCCTTTCAAAACCCTAGACAAAACCCCAAGTGAGTACCAAACAAAACACAAAATTGACACTTAAACCCCTAAAAATTCACCAAGATCCAATTTTTCTAGACACCCACAAAATAAAACTGAATATAATCACAAAAAAGAGGTAAAAAAAATCAGAAAATACTCACAAAGCAATCATCATCGATGGTGTAGATATACTTCTTCTTAGAAACCATATAACCAAAACACCTACAAGCAGAATCCTTAAAAGAGATACAAGAGGCTTTAGGACCAAGAATCCTGTTAATATCATTCCTATTATAAAGCTCATAATCAAATCCTTCAGGTACTTTAATGATCTTAGAAGGGTCACCATCTTGTACAATAATTAAATGGTATGGCTGAAAAAAGGGTCTCCACATCTCCAAGAAATCAAGATTTCTAATTGTTGGTATGACTATATCTAGCTCATCTTTCAACAATGGTGTTGGGGCCATTGATCCTCCTGCCATTGTACCTTTGGATCTGAAGAAAGAATGAGAGAAAAGAAACGGTTCTAACAAAGAAATTGGGGAGATGTGTTGTGGTTATATAGAAAGAAGCAAAGAAGCAAGTTGTACTATAGTTTGACTTCGATGTATGTATGCTAATACTTCGGCGAGATTTTAGCGTCTTACCTTAGAAACGTGTAACTGGTAAGAGAATATTACAATCTTTTACCGACAAAAGAATACGAAGTATTGTTGTTTTTCTTTTTTCAAACATCTTTTCAAAAATTCAAACTAAAGTCATTTTTAGTTCACAAAATACTAGAGTTTAGTTTATCCAAAATTTATATATATATATATATATAGAAAGCACTTCACTCTGTTTAGATCATTATTACCTATTGTTTTATAAAGTAATGTATTGTATTGTATCGTTTGATGGATATACTATGTAGATAGATTATATCGTTTATTGTGGTTAAATAATATTTTGGTTATTTAATTTGACTATATCGTACTGTATTGTGACGGATAAATTTACTAAATGCCCTCACTAAAAATTAAATTTATCAAGAATTTTGCATAAAAATAATTTAAGAAAACTTCTTTCTACTAATGTATTTCAAGTATGTAGCTTAGAAACCAGAGCAAAATTTGAAGAAAAAGGTTAACAATCATTAGCAAAAATACAAAATGATGGAGAGACAAAAAAGCGAACAAGATTTGGAGATTTGGATCAAAAGAACAACACAAACTGATTCTTAAAAAAATTGACCAAGACAAAGTAGGTTAATAGGCTGGAGATTTGGAGTTAATTTTTTTTTAAAAGTAAAAGGGCAAAATTTTATGGAGTAATAAGTATGTCGAGATTGAAGTTTACAGAATGAATCAACCTCCATTGAAAGAGGTTGAGCTTGAGCTCTCATCGTGAGAAAAGCTTCTCGACAGAAAAAGAAATTGGGAAAAAATATTGTGTTATTCTATTCAGCATAAATGAGTCTTATACACGTGAGAAAGAAAGAGTAAATTGCTAATGACTAAAATACCCCTGTAACTAACTTAACTACTAACTTTCTAAGTTTAACAACTAGCTAACATCAATATAACATAAATAACACCAACTATACTACTACACTTGACAATATTCAATAAGCTCAATACCTCCCCTCAAGTCGGAGGTGATAAATTCACAGAAAACTTGCCAAGAAGATCATAATGCTTGATCCCTGTAAGTGCTTTTGTTAAGATGTCTGCCAGTTGGTTGTGAGTAGAAATGTGATGAAGTGTAATCAAGCCATCATGCAGATTGTCTCTCACAAAGTGACAATCTACTTCTATATGTTTTGTTCTTTCGTGGAACATAGGATTCCTAGAAATGTGCACATCAGCTTTACTATTATAGAAAATTGGGATGGGGGCATTACATGAGACTGTTAGTTCTTCTAATAATCATTTGACCCACACCAACTCATCAACCACCTTCCTTAAGGACCTATATTCTACTTCTGTAGAGGACAATGAGACAGTGGTTTGCTTTTTTGATTTCTAACTAATTAAACTGCCTCCAAGGAGTACAAGATACCCAATCTGAATCACAGTAAGCTATGACTTCATAGGAAGGATCATTAGATATAAAAATCTTTAAGGTAGGATCAGCCTTCAGGTATCTAAGGACATGCATAGCCGCCTTGAGATGAGGTTCTCTTGGTGTTTGCATGAACTGACTTAAGTGTTGCACACTGTAGGCAATGTCTAGTCTTGTGTTTGTGAGGAAGTTGAGCTTCCCAATTAGCTTCCTATAATATGATGGATTAGCCACTAAAGTACCTTCTTCAATTTTGAGTTTGGTTGATGAATCAAGTGGAGACGAAACAGGAAAATAACCCAATCTGTCATATTCTTTTAATAGATCAATGGTGAATTTTCTCGGAGAAATCAGTACTCCATCATTTTTGTAAAGCATCTCCAGGCCCAAGAAATAGTGCAGCTTGCCTAAGTCTTTTATTCTAAACTGATTGTGCAAAAATGCCTTTAGTGCTGTGATTTCTTCAAGGTCAGTCCTAGTAAGGATCACATCATCAACATATATTGTCATAGAAACTGATTGATCACCTTGTTTTTTATAGAATAAAGAATAGTCATTTGCTTAGTGCCTGGACCCCCTAGAATGCAAAGAATCTGCCAGCTTGTCATACCATTGCCTACTAGCTTGTTTGAGGCCATCTAAGGACTTCCTTAGTTTGCACACAAGTGATGTATCCTCCATCACCAAACGTTGTAGGACATCCATATACACTTCCTCATATAGATCTCCATGGAGGAAAGCATTGTTCATATCCAGTTGATAGAAATCCCGCCCTCTCTTTACTGCAATGCTGATTAAGGTCCTAATAGTAGTCATCTTCACCACTGGAGAAAATTTTTTTGTGTAATCAACTTCAGCTTCCTGAGTGTAACCTTTTACCACAAGCCTTGCCTTGTATCTTTTCATACTTTCATCTACTTTGTGTTTGATTTTGTATACCCATCTGCACCCTATAGCTCTCTTTCCTGCAGGCAAATTGACTAAATCCCAAGTATGATTAGTATATAAAGCGTCAAACTCTTGTGTCATTGTTGCCTGCCAGGCAGGATTCATAGCTACCTCCTCATAAGAGTTTGGTTCACACTCACGTGAAATAGTCTTTACCAACTGCTGACTATCATGGCTTAAAGCATTGAAAGACACAAACTAATTGTTGGTAAAAGGGACAGTGAGTGATGTGGATGGGGAATGGACTGGTTGATGTTTAGGGCTTATACCATTATTTGAATGGTGATGTAGTTGTAGGTTTGGTAGTGTACACACATAGTCTTTAAGATGATAAAGAGTGATAAGTGTTCTGCATGATCTCCTATGTTGTGTAGGATTAGGGTGGTTATTATCATGTCTCATATGATGTATTTGCTCAAAGGGTGATACCTGTGTTTCTGAATGATTTCCAGCTATAGGACTATGAGTATGAGCTATGTTGTCTGATTCTGGGTTCTGTTGTGAGTCATGGTTATGTAGGCTTGAAGAATTTGGAGAATTTGGTGATGTACTTGTAATTGAGGATTGTGTATCTTCAGGTATAGGACTACTTATGGCAGAAGTGGATGCATTTCTATCAACGGTAAAATGATCAACATGATTATTCATGTGAGCACGTGATTTTTGCCTCATATGAATTACTCCAAAAGAATTCTCAAATTAGGCCTTTT